ACCGAACAATTAACAAAACCACAACACGTGTTCATACTATGTTCATCAGTATAAACACACCTAAGGAAGTTATTGTATAGTGAAACACGTATTGGGGTTTTGTCAACTGTTCGGTGTTAACCTCACATAAAACTGTGACTTGAATAATGTAATGTTTTTCCGCGTGGGTTCAGCAATAATTGACTACACTGAATAATCAAAGTTAACTTTATTTCACTTTAAATACAACAAACATTTCAACTGAACTTCAACCATTATTTGAATGTCTATCGCCTTACTACATCATTTCGCGTACCGCACTGTAACGTTCACTTGACTGTGTCGATATCCTCGTGGCTAGTCTTTAAACATTGTAATCGAATGTCGTAGAAATTTTTGCGAAGTTCTGACGAAGTCGGTAGCATTATTCTTGCTGCTTCTCGAGTGGCGGGGAATCATCGTGCATTCGCGCGCTCTTAGCTACGTCACGTTTGGTTTATGGTTACCAGTGGCGGCCGGCGTTTTTTTCTTTCAGACATGATTTATAACAATACGTTATGGTTTCTGAAAGAAATGTATATGCATGATCCACACATTTTGACAAAAAGTTTATTTTGAAGTTGATTTCTATCTTTGGAGTTTTCCACGTTTTTTAAGGAAAGTATGAAGTCAAAACGCTTTTTCCTAAAAATTAATCTAATTGGCATCCATGTTAAAGGATGTATGTAATATAAACCCTCCGATTCATTTCAGACTGATATTTGGCAGATTTCAATTTCAGCAGATAGTTTCGACCAAAATTTAGTTAGATAATGACTGCGTATGATAGAAAAAACAATAGATTATAAGTTAATTTTGAAACAGAGGTCCACTTTCGATCAAATTTCTCGTACAAATAAACTTCAGCGTTCATAATGAACCAGTGAAGGGAATTAACGATATCGATGTGAATTTTCTGATGCTTAAAATTAGTTCTATTGATCTCTTTATGAAGCGAAGTCCTGGAATTTTCAAATTATATCGCAACTTGTCAGTGACTGAATGAATTGAATAACGAAAAGCAATTTCAAACATTTTCGGTTCGAATAATGAACTTGACAGTTTTCTGAAAGGAATAATTTTCCTAACAATAGAACAATAATCTATATTTAGGATCTATATTATTCCACAAAGCAAAGTAAAAATTATCCAGTTGCATCTACTCAAACATTTAATGCGGTCGTAAAACCTGCAAGTGTTTATTGTCATTACATCATTTTCAGAAACAGATATAAAATATTAATATTTTCCCGAAACAAAAAACTTTTCCAAGAATTTGAAACAAATGAAGGCATGCTTTTATGATAATTCAGGAATTGAATCGTATTTCGTAAGAATAATTTATTTGTAAGTTGCAAAGCTCTTTCGGCTTTTACGCCATCATCAGTGCGATACCTGCAAGTAAGTAATAGTCGTGAAAATTTGTTTGAAGCTGAGCTTTAAATTCTTTTTTGAAATACTTACTCGTATATACAAGAAGATCCTGTAGAAACCTTAGTAGAACACTATTCTAAGTAGACGTGAACATGAATATTACAATAGATACCATTTTAGGTTTAACATATTAATGTTTTGTTTAAAAATTATAAAATTATTTCCAGCGTGCTGAATGACGAGTACGAGGAGGAAAAGGAAGTGAAAATTTTACATAGGCATAAGGTAATCATCAAGTATAGAACTCATTTAGTTTGACAAATGACATATGTAGTAACTACAATACGTAAAAATTCTCCAAAGTGAGCAAAGAACTATTCAATTGGGATTTTGAGAAATGTTGATTTTCACAATGGAGAAGGAAATTCACAACGAATTGCCATTCTTAGACGTTTTGGTGAAGAGGACCGACACTAAGTGAAGAATAATTGGATCTAAAAACAATATTAGATTATACTTTAGACCCGTCATTCGCCAGTCTCATAAAAACCTGCATATATAAACAAATTACAAATGTCAACACTTGCAATTATCCACATTCAAAATGATTCGCTTTCCTTTTAGAAACCCATTCGGCTGTTTTTGTTTTGTTCGTTTCAGAAAACATTTTGCGGCGATGGCAGGAAATCGTAATACATCCACCAGAGAAATGTTTTCCTCGTAAATCTCTAAATCTCGACAAGAAAACGTTGAGACAGGTTTCCAATGAAAACATATTTTCTCTGAGATAGTATGACCTCGATGTGCTTTTTGATTGGAATTAATTTCATTTTTGAAGGTTTCGAGATTGCGATCTAAGGCAGAGGCTCTGTCTTATATATCATCTTCGATGTACTCTTTGAAAGGCGTTGAAAAAATATTCAAGACAACAATTAATTCAACTTGATAAAAGAATGTTGATTGGCCAATTCTTTACTAGATCTAACGTGTTGAAACAAGATTTGAATTCGAAAATATCAAAACAAAATTCTAGTCTGTGAATCACTTCAGAGAATACCAATGAAAATGGAACAAGACCCATTTCTCATAGTTGGCTTTAGGGAAAAAAGTGGTCTGATCGGTCGATTATTATTTAGAAGAGTTGATATTTCAAAGATATTTTCAACTTTGTCATTTTCACCAGTTCGACGGTAACGTTTTCATTTCCTCACACTGTGAATATTAGGTTGTGTCAAAAGATTGACATGACATGTGTTTGACATGTGACATGACATGTGTTAATTTTTTAATGACAATACAATATAATTCATATACATATAATTCATTATAACATTAAAATCAACAGTTAAAAATAACTTTTCAAAACGCTCAAAGGTGCGAACTCGTAAATTAGTCTAGTTCACATGTACTTTTTTTTGTAACATTTTTCAGCCCTGTCCAAAAATTACTACCAAGGTGTCATTCGATTCGTATTTTTGCCTAGAAAATTTAAGGAAAGGTCCGAAAACGCGCCGATAAAAATTACAAAAGTTATAAACAATTAAGTGAAAAAAATATGAGGCTTTAGTTTTTTCTTAATATCAAGGAGAATTTTCAAAATTTTGGAAATTTAAAAAAAGAT